TTGCCTGGCTGGCCTTCGGGGTTGCTTTCAAGTTCGTGTTCTCTGTAAGAGACACAAGGCGTCGCCGACTCGACATTGGGGTGGAGGAGAAGAATACCCAATACGGCTATCAACGAGATTCAACTAGCAGCAGTGCTGATCGCCGCCTTTCATGACACAGTCTTGACTCTCTGAGTGTACCATGGTTCTGTAAGACATGCTGTACCCTTTTGCGTTTTTTCCTGTGATACCCCTGTACTCAGTAAGTCGGGTCGCTCTGATCTGGAGACCTTGGCGCCTCCATTTTCTGGGTAGTCATTGGATCGATCGTGTCGCATATTATGGAGTTGTCCCCTCCCCCCCGAGTGGTGGGATGTTTGCCTCGGGAGTATTTGAGCTGCATGGGCGATCACTTGTTTCTGTGGGGGGGCGTTCTTAGGATACAACATAGGTGAGTAGTACTGCGTACGCGGAACGCATCTTAGTTTATAGCGGTACCTGAAAGTGTTGGGTTTAGAGATCCAACTCGTTTGTATGGTTGAATGTGATAGTGATAGTCTTATTTCGATTAACCTCTAACTACAACCTCTCATGGACCGACTTCATGTCTCCTTCACTACGGCCGTCATACTCTTACTCCTGTGGATCAGCGTGATTCTCACCCTCGTTATAGTGGCATTGGTAGGCGCCTTTGCATACCATCTCAGCGGAATCGTTGTGGGCGGCATCATCATGGTTTGCGGCCTCATCGCATTGCTGGGTTCCCTCGCCCGTGGGTGGACAGTTGTCGATCGGGAGAACTTCGAGCTTTCCGAGTACGACGGCAAAAACTACGACACCGTTAAGGCCCCTCCTGTTAGTGCCACTGAGAGCATCGTTACTACTGTGTAGATCTGGGAAACACACCTTAGTGGATTTCCTATCACGAATGAAGGAATACGTAGAAGCTAGCGCGTTGCTAACATCAGTATTTTCGCCTTCGCGGAAAATGGTCAGGTTTACCATCACTATCGCCGCCTTTGTCACGCGGCGCTTTTCTCTGTATCCTCCAATTCAGCACATCTTATTCTCATACGGCTCGCTGATGATGTGACCAAGGACTGTAGGCACCACCGTGTTGGTTGTGTGCTACCTCTTTACGAGATGTCTCTCCGCTGCCCTTTTTCGTAGTATATGTCATCACTGTGTGAATTGTTGTAGTTGAGATCGAACGCCTGTCGTGGTTTATGCTGAGACATCTTGTTTATTGTCTTTAGCATCCCACCCTGCTATGAGAAGCATCTATTTAATCGTCACTCTAAGAGGGATCACCATGGACCATTACGTGTCCTGCTGCTGAAGGGGTCTGTTGTACCTCTTAGCATTCTCGATAGGAGTCGTAGCTTCGACGGTAACATTTCGAGTCGTTGAGTTGTTTGCAGTTCATCTGTTGGGAGGAGGCCTCAGCCATCAGAGATTATGTCCTATCATGGTGTAGCTACGTCGTCCTCAGCGACGACGGCAACGACCACTGAAACCAGTAATTCTACGACGATTACTCTGTCCATACCAGATAACAATGAGGATGAACAACATAATGTCCATTGGGCTGAAGGTGAGGCGTTTTGCACGTGTAGCGGTGTTCTGTCCTTCTATGAAGGGTTCAGTGTAGTGAGATTCGCCGTTGTGTAGGTACTGTAGACAACGAGCATCTGAACCGGCGGAAGACTAAGAAATGCTGCATTTATCGTAAACCGCGGGCATTTGGCGAATCCTCATCATCGTCATCATCGTCATCATCATCATCGTCCTCTTCTGATGAGGGAGAGGGTAGTGGTGATGATGATGCTAGTAAGAGGAAAGAATGCGGCCAGCATAGACGCCACCATGGATGTAGCAAGCGGAGCGCTAAGGTAGGCTGGGTACTGCCCCTCATTGGGCCGGTTGTCCGATTTTGGCGTGCCTTCAGGGTAAACCGCCATCAAAGAACCAGCGTATTGGTGATAAGCCTTCCGATACGACCGGAGCCTCCAACGATTCTGAGGTCGACTAGTCTCTCAGGGGTGCTCATACTCCTGTATTATAGTCTGTTACCATCTCATCATCATCCTAAAGTAGCGAAGCTGCAGATATGTTGCGCTTGAGGAT